TCTTCTTCTTCCTCCCCTTCTGCTTTAGCATCCAAATCAAAGGTGAATAGGACAACTGAGAGCATCTTCATCTTTTTCCTCCCCTCTTCTTTAGTATCAATATCATTAGCGTCAGAAACAAGAAAACTGAGAGTCAAAAAAAAGTGAGAGTCATTTTTGCAAACCCCTCTGATAAGTATGTACATAAGGGAGAAGAGGGAGAAGAGGAAGCATTTGCCAAGCGAACACCGTGTCGGCGAACACCCTTGTAAGCGCGATGCTTCCGCAGGATACTTCTTCGCAAGCAGAATCTGCTTGAAGCACTGGTTTGCCCTAGTCTCCGCCATGGGCAGTTGACAAAGCTGTGTGGCAGGTCATTGAGAGAGGAATGGACAGTGTTGGCAATGGTGCCTCGAGTTATATACAAAATCATGGTGCATTTGGCACTGGGCACTATGATGTTTACCATCAGCACTGGCCAGCCAATATTGATGGAGCAGCAAGACCTTAGTGGTGTCAAGACATTTGTGAATATTTCAGGAGAATCTGTGAAGACGATGATGGTATTGTTCCACGGGTGCAACAATCAGGGCCACGACTGGTTTCAAAAGCCTGAGGAAATTGTGTTTTTGCACAAAGCGATTTTGAGGAAGATCGCAGTGGTAGCGTTTACAAACCCTCGCCATCGAGGAAATTTTTGCTGGCCAAGTCCAGATGAGGAATATTTTTTGGCCTCTTGGGCGGCATCACTTTGGCATCTCTTTGGCAATTGCCCAGAAAGCAGGGAAGACAGGTCAAGAAGAAAACACCAAGTATATTGAATAAGTCTGCTGCATTTGTCACCACCCCGTCACCTTTGGTCTTGGATATCACTACACCGCTGAAAGGCCTACTGTAAATCAGCTTTTGGAAAGAACACATTCGCAATCATACGGTACCCATTCTTGTTTCCGCAGCTGTCCCTGAAGGAATGGGCTCGACTAGACGTGATTCAAAACTTTCTTTAGATGAAATGACTAGAGCATCTTTTTATTTTGAAACCTGCAACAAAAGAGATTGAAAAAAAGAAGGTACGCCCTCCTTCAAAGGAGCCTTACCTTCTTTCCATTTCTGATATTTTTTTCAGCTTTAAGGAAGCCACCGATTTGCTCCACAGAGCACTGCTGGAGTTGCTTGACTCGCTGAAGAAGCCGCCGAAACCGCTGGTTGTCTCCTCTGTGTCCTTGATATTGGTGGGAGCTTCCTCTGGTGGAATTTTTGCGTTCAAAGCTCAGATTGAGCCATCTCAAACGTTGATTAAACTAAACCCTGATCCGGGCAGCCTTGCATCTGGTTCCGAGGTCGCGCTTGCCAGCAATTTGGCGGAACAAGCTGCTCAATCTCGCACAGGCTTGTCATTGTCATTGAGCCCTTGGCTCTTGTGATGTAGTTATCGCTTGTTGTTGTACCTACTGAAAGAGTTATCCTTCTGAACAAATTACTGACCATGTTGGTTCCATACTTTGATGTACTTTGTAATCATGTCGCTCCCAGACGGACACCCGCACCAGGTTGCATTTTTGAATGCATGCAGTATGCTTTTGGATATGTCCCCCTCGCTTCCCACTTGGAATGGGTCAGTGCAGGTGACAGCATTTCTTTCTGTGGTTTCTCCCACAAGTTTCGTAAGGCGCCGGCTGTGCAGTGGTTTTGGTTGTGCCATGTATTGGCAGTGCTTGCTGCCCTCGTATGGAAAGTCCGAAGACCTTGCATTCGCTTCAGGAAAACCCAGCTTTTGGAGCAGCCGGGAGCAGACTTCCCTCCAACAGTTTGCCGGACGTGTTTGTTTGACCATGATTCAATGTATGTATGTGTGCACATGTGCATATACATACATTGTACGTTTGTGCGCTATGCTTGCAGAGACGCTTGCCTTCACTATGTATTTATGTTCAAGACATGCTGCTGAGTGTCGACCCTTTGCAGGGCCTGGTCTACATGCCAAGAGACACTACATTTGCATCTGAGGCAGACTCAGTCGAACTATGTGGTTTGTTCTAAAACTTGATGTTGACATAGTTGGGGCTGGGCTATTTACATGCTTCAACGCACTTACCACAAGATGTCCAGCATGATGTGCAGCAGGAGGCTATCGAAACATTCTTGGGCAGCCTGCACCAAGCTGGTGTTGCTGCCAAGGCGCGGGAGGGTTTTCTAAGCTGCGCTACAAGCAGGCAGTAGCTTTCCGAAGACTGTAGCATCATCGAGAGCGCAGCACCGTAAAGCTTGCTTAAATCTCGCAGAAGTCACCCAGAAGAAGGCTAAATATCCTGTTTATAGATATCTTTGGAAGTTTGAGAATTGATAATCTATACGGTCTTTGACAGTTACTGTCTATGGCAAAAGAGAGAGAGCGAGGCTGAAAGAGGTTGCTTCCAATCTTGCTTTTACCCCACTTAGACACAACCCATGACAAAGAAATCACCTGGAAGCTACTGGAATCTTTCGTGGCATGTTGTGGTTGCATCAGCTACCAAAGCTGTCGTTGTTCATCAATCAATCTGCTACATGCAGTCAGTGAAACCGAGAAGAGGAAATGGTGCGAGCCGCGGCGCCAAAGCCAAGTTCACACTATATATTGATCGTGGATGTTGGTAATTAGTTTTATATAGGTATATATATATATGTATATATTTGATTGCTATTGCATGTTAAACTATTTTAAAGACAATGATCATGCTAGCTTAAAGGTGAAGCTGATCAGTTGCCTCAGTGGACATCCACATTGCAACAACAACCAAGCCTAGGACCCAAGCTGAATAACAGCAAACGAGTTGGTTGTCAAATGCTTCTAATCGACATTATATGATACCACCTCTTTGTCATTTCATAAAGTTAAAATGACATTTATTGTATATAAGGAATCCGAATGGGGAAATTTGGACGTGCTGATCGATGACACAACCGTGCACAGTGTTGATTGATGACCTTCCGCTCACCTGTCTCTCCAAAGCCACTATTACAGGGTTCTTCATATTTCACTTCCGTTTGACGAGGATGATGTTCGAAAATGTTCAATAACTCTGCACTACAACATGCTTTGCGCACGTGCTTTTGACTCTTAGGAACCTGTGAGGATCAGCCATGCATTAGCAGAGCACGTAAATTTAGAGCCACTTTCAGTTGAGCAGAGCACAATCATTCCTTCAGGCTTGGGCACTTGCACCACAACAGCTGACCGCGGAGACTCTGATTGCGAGCCTTCAAATTGCGGGGATATTTGTCGAGGTACCTGAAGCCTGATGCGTCTTCATTTCATGGTTTGTAGACTCAAGCTGCCTGCCTTGCGATCCTGCAGAATTTGGTCGCGTGAAGGACAAAGCAGTGCAAAAGTTTATTGAGGCCAGTTGGGCAGAGCAAAGCTAACAGAGAAGGCATGGACTGCAACAGACATCATGCTCCAGACATAGACAATGACATGGCAAGTAACTTAAGTATTTAGAAGCCCGCAAAGGTGTTGTGCATAATCCGCTGTGGTCCCTTAGAGGCTTTGACAGACCTTGGACTACTTATGGATGGAGAGGCCTTGGCAGCCTTATGAGCAGACCGCAAAGTGTCAAGTACTGATGTGTCTCACCAAACAAAATATGTCCATTGCATTGAACCCACTGTGTCAATGGCTCGTTTAGTTGGAAAAGTCATTTGTGAAGGTCATAGAGGACCCTAGGCGCATTCCTTGGCGCAGAGCTGTGGCACTCTTGGACTGCACGGGCTTTCTTCGGGTCAGGTGAGGTCATGTAAGGCCCAAGGTTGCGACGAAGTTTCATAAGGTCTCATCCCTCGAGAACATCCTTTTGTGCCCGATTCAGTCAGAATCATATTCTTGAAGTTTGAACACGATAGTAAATATACAATTGTTGTCCTATCAATCCACACATGCATCAGCTGCACAAAGATCACATCGTGCGTGATCTGTCTTTACCAGGACGCTGGAGTGCAAGGACATTCTCGCCAACATCGACACAGGTGCTTGGAGGCATCAGCCAATAAAGCGACGACTCCATATTCGATTTCGATGTCTCAGCGGATGAATTGCCAAATGAATGAATTGCCAAATCAACGGTGGTTTATCGGCATCGGCCAAGTCTAGCCTTAGCATTCTGGGAAAGTTTCAATTTCAGGAAGTCTTGAACCGTGCCTGGGCGCAGCATGAGTTTGGCATGGATGCCGAGGCATGGGAAGCCAGAGCGTGCTGCAAGTTCTGCTTGAAAAATACACTTGCATTCCA